ACTTTTGAAGTCCAGTTTCGCTGAAGATATTTCCCCTCTCATCCAAGAAGCTTCTTCAGTTCTGACTAAATGGTGGAGGATGGAAGGATTTGCACTGCAAGAAATATAAATCCTTCCGTCCTCCACCATTCAACTGAAGAAGCTTCAAGGAAAATACAGACATGTATTTTCTGTCTGTCTGTCTATCATGTGTGCATATGCGCATGTGTATGTGTGTGAGAGACAAAAAAAAGAAAGGAAGGAAGGGAGGGAGGGAAGGAAAAGAGAGAGAGAGAGAGAGAGAGAAAAGAAAGAGAAAGTTAGAAAGAAAAGAGAAAAAAGGAAGGAAAAAGAAAGATATTAAGAAGAGAAAGTAGGAAAGAGAAAAAAGAGAAAGATAGAAGTTAGAAAGAAGGAAAGAGGAAAAGAGAAAAAAGGAAGGAAAAAGAAAGATATTAAGAAAAGAGAGAAAGAAAGAAAATAGGAAAGAAAGGAGAAAAAGATAGAAAGTTAGAAAGAAGGAAAGAAAGAAAAAAAGAAAAGGATATTAAGAAAAGAGAGAGAAAGTTAGAAAGAAGGAAAGAAGAAAAAGAGAGAAAAGGAAGGAAAAAGAAAGATATTAAGAAAAGAGAGAAAGAAAGAGTAGGAAAGAAAGGAGAGAAAGATAGAAAGTTAGAAAGAAGGAAAGAAAGAGAAAAAAGGAAAAGGATATTAAGAAAAGAGAAAGAGAAAGAAAGTTAGAAAGAAGGAAAGAAGAAAAAGAGAGAAAAGGAAGGAAAAAGAAAGATATTAAGAAAAGAAAGAAAGAGTAGGAAAGAAAGGAGAGAAAGATAGAGAGAAGGAAAGGAGAAAAAGGAAGAAAAAGATATTAAGAAGAAAAGAGAAAGATAGAAAGGAAAGAAGAGAGAAAAGGAGAAGGAAAAAGAAAGATATTAAGAAGAGAAAGTAGGAAAGAAAGAAAAAAGAAAGATAGAAACTTAGAAAGAAGAAGAGAAAAAAGATATTAAAAAGAAAGATATTAAGAAGAGAGAGAGAGAGAGAGAGAGAGAGAGAAAGAAAGAAAGAAAGAAAGAAAGAAAGAAAGAAAGAAAGAAAGAAAGAAAGAAAGAAAGAAAGAAAGAAAGAAAGTCAGACTTCTGTAGCGCAGCAGACCTGGAGCCAAACAGGGAGTTACTGGATCTTCTCCATCCTTTCATCTTCCCACTAACGGAACAGGCTAGTAGGGGCTTAGTCACAGTCAAGGTTAAGTATGTCAGTGAAGATCCTCCGTCATCCAGGTAGAGCGTCTGGGGCTTGAGTCAGGCCAAGGGCCTCGTCGTCTCTATTGGCGCTTGGAAACCTTTTTTCCGCTGCTGAACCAAGCAGAAGCCCAGAAAGCACTTGAAGAAGAAGAAGAAGGCAAGAAGGCCCCTTTGTCGTGACTCAACCTCTAGTCCAGGCTCACCCGTCCCAAGCCGAGTCCAGACACAGAGGGAGTCTCCTTGGGGTTCTCGGAAATGTCCCCCTCTTGAAGGAAACTCGGATTTTCTCCCTGGCTCCCAAATGGGGGTGTAGTGTGGGTCCTTTTTCTCTATCGCTGCGTTTCGCCATCAGCTCCGGGCCTAATAGGGAGCCATTCATCAATGCCAAACGCGAAAGGCTCACCCTGGCACGAAACCACGGCTAATATATTTCTCTGCCATGCTGGCAGCCCCCCCGGCCGCCCCCCTCCCCGAGCAAGGCAGCCTGGGCTCAATTGCAAAATGAATCCTGTCACTCTGATGGTTATCCGGCTGGGGGGGGGGGAGTGGAGAGGAGGAAATTGCTATCTTAAATGACAGGACAGGCTCAGCGTCCTCCCCCCACCCCTGTCCCGAGATTCCTGTCAACGGGGTCCTTCCCTCCATCTGGAAATTTCTCACCAGGATTGCCCGTACCTGTGAATACTTTGAGATACCGAATGGCTGGGCTGCGGCCTCTTATTCTATTTTTAAAAGATCTTTTAAGTTTTTAAGATTTTTCTTTTTTTAAAGAAGAGATTGGTCAGCCGTTGGTCCGGAATGGTATAGGCCAGGGGTAGGCAACCTTGGCTCTTTTATGACACGTGGACTTCAACTCCCAGAATTCCTGAGCCAGCATGGGGGAACTATGGCCCCTATATGACTTGCGGACTTCAACTCCCAGAATTCCTGAGCCAGCCATGCTGAGGGGACAGGGAGAGGTTTCTAAGCTGAGCCATGCTGGCTCAGGAATTCTGGGACTTGAAGTCCTCGAGTCACAAAGGGGCCATAGTTCCCCCATGCTGCCTCAGGGATTCTGGGAGTTGAAGTCCTCGAGTCACGAAGGGGCCATAGGTCCCCATGCTGGCTCAGGAATTCTGGGAGTTGAAGTCCTCGAGTCATGAAGGGGCCATAGTTCCCCCATGCTGGCTCAGGAATTCTGGGAGTTGAAGTCCACGAGTCACGAAGGGGCCATAGTTCCCCCATGTTGGCTCAGGAATTCTGGGAGTTGAAGTCCACGAGTCACGAAGGAGCCATAGTTCCCCCATGCTGGCTGAGAAATTCTGGGAGTTGAAGTCCTCGAGTCACGAAGGGGCCATAGTTCCCCCATGCTGGCTGAGGAATTCTGGGAGTTGAAGTTCACGAGTCATGAAGAGGCCATAGTTCCCTCATGCTGGCTCAGGAATTCTGGGAGTTGAAGTCCATGAGTCATAAAAGAGCCAAGGGCTCTCCTGCTTGGGTAGGGGGTTGGACTACTAGATGACCTCTGATTCTATTATATATACAGTTGACTTAATGGCTACACTTGGGAGCAGAACCATTCCAATTTGACTTTGAGGCCATCTAAAGGGAGTCCTCGGCTTACAACAGTACGTTTAGTGACCGTTCAAAGTTACGATGGCACTGAAAAAAGGCAACTTTTGACTGTTTTTCACACTTACGACCGTTGCAGCATCCCCCAGGGTCACTTTCTTTCAGGGGTGTTGTAACTCTGGAGAGTTGGCAAAGGAATGGCTGTAAGTCAAGGACTACCTGTTATCTATGGCCAACTGCAGGCAATCCTCAGCTTACGACCACAGCTGAGCCCAAAATTTCCATTGCTAAGCGAGACCGTTGTTAATGTGAGTTTTGCCTCATTTAACAACCTTTCTTGCCACAGTTGTTAAGTGAGTCACCGCAGCCGTTCAGCTAGCAAGGCGTTTGTTGAGGGAATCTGGCTTCCCCAGGGACTTTGCTGGTCAGGAGGCCGCAAAAGGGGATCACTCGAACCCGGGACACTGCAACCGTCCTAAGTACACACCAGTTGCCAAGCCTCTGAATTGTGATCACGTGACCACAGGGATGCTGCAACAGGGCGTGAAAAGAATGGTCATAACTCAACTTTTTTCCAACGCCGTTGTTAACTTCGAATGCTTACTAAACCAATGTGTCAACGCTGCTAACATTGGATGTTTTTGCTTTGACAACAGTTGGAGATGCAACCCTTTTCTTCTTATGTTTTACTAGAGCTAGTAAATGACGCTGGGGGGAGGAATGTGCATGAGTTAGATGATGCTGGGGGAAGGAATGTGCATGAGAGTTTAGCTAGACATAACAATACTGGATCTACCTTGTGAAGCAAGGTTATTGAAATAAGAGATGATAAGAATTGCCGGGTTGGAGAACTGGAGGGAGAGCCTGCATTTCAAGCTAATTGGAGAATGTGATTTATGACCGTTAATTGGAGGAGGGAATTGTGCTTTGATACTATGTGCTCAGGGGAGGGAAATCCAGATTTTGGCTTTCATTGTGTTAGTGCCGATGTTATGGTACTCAAATAAAGATTCTTTAAGGTAAACAATGCCTCAAAGTTCCTTGAACAGTTTCATCTGTTGGAATCATGACATAATGGTTGTAAGTCAAGGACTAGATCCATGGTGGCGAACCTATGGCACGCCTCTCTGTGGGCATGCGTGCGCCGTCGCCCCAGTCCTAGGCCTTCAGCTGGGTTTTATAAAATCTTTTCGCTTTAGACCTCCGCCGCCGTGTGCAAAAAAAAAAAAAAAGGTTCAATCAATCAATCAATCAATTTCAACTTCTCGCAGGAAAAAAAATCTCACAAAGTTGGCATTGATTGATTGAACTTTTTAGTCCCACTCAGTCTGCCATTACCACCGCAGCCACCCCCACCCACTGGGCCATGCCTACCCAATGGACCACGCCCACCCAGCACCCGATGATGCATAAGTGGGTTTTGGGTTGCAGTTTGGGCACTCGGTCTCTAAAAGGTTCGCCATCACTGGACTAGATAGATAGCGTGCGCCAAAATGATTACCTTCTGAAGGCATAATGTCATAGACTCCTAATTTATAGCCATGTACCTTAACCATTTGACTCCACTGGATCTGTATGTATATATACCCGCATGCATGCATGCATGCATGCGGGAATGAATGTTAATGTATGTATCCGCCTGCCTCTCTCTCTTGTGTTTGAGAGGCTCCAACTGGGTCACCCCATCAAAGCAGATCTGCAAACGGAAATCAGTAACTACAAAGTGCTACTATGGTATTTCTCCTGTTGTTGAAGGTGTGTGTGTGTGGGGGGGGGTTTAACACAGAACGTTGCAACTTGTACTGTGGATGGACAGAAGGTCAGACAGGTAGACATTCAGCCTTCCCCCCCCAATGAAAAGGAGGACTAGTTAGCTTGGCTGACCCAACATCTTGCCTTCCTTCCCATCTTTTCTCTCTCCAACAGTGGCGGCTCCATGATTGACAGTCGTCCTGGTTTTGAACAAGAGATCCGGAGCGGTTGTCTGAATTGGCTCCCAGCCTCACTGCGATAGATGCAAGAACAAGGAGAGGCTTCTTTTGAAGTTTAATAGAGGGATGGAATCAAGATCATTTGATCTCGGAGTCCTAGTGGACGATCCCTTAAATAGGAGCCAGCCGTGTGCTGCAGCTGCCAAAAAGGCCAACACGGTGCTGGGCTGCACTAACAGAGGGATAGAATCAAGATCACGTGAAGTCTTAATACCACTCTTCAATGCCTTGGTAAGACCACACTTGGAATACTCCATCCAGTCTTAGTCACCACGATGTAAAAAAGATGCTGAGACTCTAGAAAGAGTACAGAGAAGAGCAACAAAGATGATTAGGGGACTGCAGGCTAAAACATATAAGGAACAGTTGCTGGAATTGGGAATGTCTAGTTCAGTGGTTCTCAACCTGTGGGTCGGGACCCCATTTGGGGTCGAATGACCATTTCACGGGGGTCGCCAAACAAGGCTGTCTGCCATTTTCCCCCCCTTTTCTTTGGCCACGCGCCTGGCACCCGGTGATGTATAAGTGATTGGGGGTCACCACAACATGGGGAACTGTATTATGGGGTCGCGGCATTAGAAAGGTTGAGAACCACTGGTCTAGTTTAACGAAGAGAAAGACGAGGGGGGACAGGATAGCAGTGTTCCAATATCTCAGGGGCTGCCCCAAAGAAGAGGGAGTCAAGCTCTTCTCCAAAGCACCTGAAGGCAGGACAAGAAGCAACGGATGGAAACTAAGCAAAGAGAGAAGCAACCTAGAACTAAGGAGGAATTTCCCGACAGTGAGAACAATTAACCGGTGGAACCACCTGCCTTTGGGAATTGTGGGTGCTTCAACACTGGAGGCTTTTAAGAAGAGACAGGATAGCCATCTATCAGAAATCGTAAACATATCCTACAGGAGCAGGGGGTTGGAATAGATGACCTCCAAGATCCCTTCCCACTCTATTACTGTTACTGTTAAAAAAGGTACTTGAGATCCCCTCCTGGGGGCCAGAAAGAGACTCTCTACTAACAAATCTGTGGCTGGAAGGGTTCAGGCCCGTGAAGCTAAATCCAGCCCTCTCCGTGGCTCCCTTCCAAATTAAGGGGAACTCCACACCCCACATGGTTGCAAAGGGGGAACCAGCCACTGGCTGAGCATAAGGTCTCCATCAATTCTGCAGTTGTGGTTTTGCGTTTCCAGACAGCCACCCACCCACCCTTCAGCTGAGATGGGCCACCCAAAGCCTTTGCCAGATCTACAAGAGGCTGCAATTCAAACCTTGCACATGGGGCCCAGTTGCTAAAGTACTTTTCCAGCGCAACGGATCCCTTGTCGTTGCTAGGAAATCCAGACATTCCTTCCTTCCCACGCACACAGAAGCACCAACTTCCCTTACGCCAGGGAAAGGGAACCAAGAGAATTATTTGGGCTCCAGTGCAAAAATGTACGGTTGCTATTAATTTTACAGACGGACTGCTGTGCCTGCTAATGTTGATCATAGAATAGAATAGAATAGAATAGAATAGAATAGAATAGAATAGAATAGAATAGAATAGAATAGAATAGAATAGAATAGAATAGTAGAATAGAAGTAGAGTAGAGTAGAGTAGAGTAGAGTAGAGTAGAGTAGAGTAGAGTAGAGTAGAGTAGAATAGAAGGGGGGTAGAGCAGGAAGACAATGTTTATTCAACGGCTGAATTAGATTAGCAGCTCTGCAATTTAATTTTCCTCCATTCAGACTGGCTATTTGTGGGAAAAATTGCTTGGACTAGAATAGAATAGAATAGAATAGAATAGAATAGGAGCTGGAAGGAACCTTGGAGGTCTTCTAGTCCAGCCCCCTGTTCAAGCAGAACCTATACCACCTCAGACAGGTGACTGTCTAGTGCAGACATGTCAAACACAAGGCCCGGGGGCCGGATGCGGCCCGCAAAGTGGTTTCATATGGCCCACAAAGCTATCCTGGAAACAATGAGGGAACGGGCCCTGCTGCCTTGGCCCTGGCCCAGGCCAGCTGGGAGCCAATGTACAATTTTGTGGTGGCCATCTTGGCACTTGACCTGGTGGACCATGCCTTGGCACTTGCCCCAGTCCCACTCCCTTCTGCCAGAGACCCTCAGATCTGTCCCACTCCTGCCCAGGCCCCCATAGGCACCCTTGATGCGAATGATGTAGAATTAGCCATGCCCACCCAGTAGGCCACACCCACTCCATCCACGCCCATCCAGTAGTCTGCACCTACTGTGGCCACACACACCCCGCCCCCCCCCAGGGCAACCACAATGCTGATGCGGTCCTCAGTAAAACTTGAGTTTGACACCCTGGTCTAATGTCTTCTTAAAAATCTCCACTGATGGAACGCCCACGATTTCTGGTGGCAAGCTGTTCCACTGGTTGATTGTCCTCGCTGTCAGGAAATTTCTCCTTAATTCCAGGTTGCTTCTCTCTTTGGTCAGTTTCCAACCATTGTTTCTCATCCTTCCCTCTGGTGCTTTGGTGAACAACCTGACCCCCTCTGCCTTGTGGCAGCCCCTCAGATCCTAGAACACTGCTATCATGATAACAGAGCTGGAAGGGACCTTGGAGGTCATCTAGTCCAACCCCCTGCTCAGGCAGGAAACCCTATACCATTTCAGACGAATGGCTGTCCAGTCTCTTCTTAAAAACTTCCAGTATTGGAGCATCCGTAACTTCCGGAGGCCAGGTCATTCCACTGGTTAATATGATAAATATGAGCCAGTTGCCAAATGCCTGAATTTTGATCCTGTGGTCATGGGGGGTGGGGTGCTGCAACGATCCTAAGTATGAAAACTGAGTGCCATTCTAAGTGCCAACTAAGGAAATGATTGTAAGTTGAGGACGACCAGTGCTTATTTCTCTACAGCAGCGGTTCTCAACCTGTGGGTCGGGACCCCATTTGGGGTTGAACGACCATTTCACGGGGGTCACCAAACGCAGTCCGCCATTTTTTCCCCCTTTTCCTTAGCTGTGCTACTCCCTTTTATTCTATTGGCTTTTGAAAGCCAATAGAATAGGCTCTCTTGAATAGAGTCTAATTCTATTGGCTTTCAAAAGCCCATAGGAATTGTCCAGGCTGTCTCTGCCCTGCTGAGCCCGCCAAAAGTCCCATTCTGCAAACGGTGCTGCACCAGTTCAGGAGTCCTCGACTTACGACCGGTTGAGTAGTCCTTGACTTACGACCAGTTGGGGGATCGCGGCATTAAAAAGGTTGAGAACCACTGCTCTACAGCTATTTGGGGTTGAAACTCCCAACCCTGGAGACATGGAGAGACATCTTTGGATGTCTGACTTGGATGGTTTGCACTGCTATAAGGTGACTGTAATTTCTCAGCAAACCTGGGACTCCATATCTATGGAGATTCTGAATCATCCAGGTTGTCCCAGACAACCCCCAGAATTCCTCAGCCAGCATGGGGGAACTATGGCCCCTTCATGACTTGCGGATTTCAACTCCCAGAAGTCCTCAGCCAGCATGGGGGAACTATGGCCCCTTCATGACTCCCAGATGCCTGGCTGAGGAATTCTGGGAGTTAAAGTCCACAAAACATAAAAGGGCCAGGTTTGAAGACCCCTGCTTTAGATCCTCATCCTTCTTGTTAACAAGGAACACGCCTGGCTGAGGAATTCTGGGAGCTGAAGTCCAGAAGTCTTCCAGTCGCCACATTTGGAGACCCCTGCTTCAGATCCTCATCCTTACTGTTAGCAAGGAACACGTCCCGTGCATTCACCACAGCTTTAAACACAACAATGCCACCTTTAATTCTGTCCCCATCTTTACATGTGTCCAAAGAAAGGCAGCCGTCACAGAGTTTTGCAAAGCACCTTCTGGCTGTCAAACTCCCCGGATGGAGGACCCAGACTCGGTTTCATACGCTTCGGTGTTCCAAATAGCTCTCTTGAGAGAAACAGGCACGGCGCGACAGCAGCGGTTTGCTCTCGGCTAGGACAACCGAGCCGGGCCTCAAACCTGCTGCGTAGTTGTCGTGCATCGGGAGCCATCGCAACAACCCAGCCCGAGAAGGAAAGCTTGGGGAGACGTAAAACCCCCAACTTCAACCCAGAATATCGCTGGTTGGTCTTCAGCTCACTTTCCCCTTGATCCTTCAGGGGCCCCTTGGCTTGGTGTTCCATCAACCCACCCTTGCCCAGAGTGGACAACAGACAACTCTGGTTCACAGCTGAGTGCTCGTAACGGCACTCACCCCGTGCACCAGCAGCGTGGGGCCCAGTCCGTGGGTCAGGATCTCCAGCTGTTGCAAGTATCTGGGGTACAAATTGGTGTCCGCAGGAGGACGGGGCAGGTAAAGGAAACGGACGGTAGGGGTGGTGCTGTGTTGGAGAATGAGCTGGTTCACCGCAGTCAAGTATTCGTCTGAAATGGAGGTGATGTTGCTGTAGGCGTTCAGGCCACCGTCGGCCGAGTCTCCGCGATGGCTGTGCCAGTGGAGCGCCACCACCTCGTCCCACGGCACGATCTGGACCTTGGCCTGGATGCGCAGGTCCTTCAGGAGCTGCCGCAGCTTGTCCTCCTGGCCCTGGGGGCTGGTGCAGCTCTCCACGCAGAGGAAGAGGCGCAAGCGAGCCCGTCGCCACGACCGCGTCATGGCCAGGACGCAGGCCATCTGCAGCAAGAAGAGGCTGCTGGTGTCGACGTATCGGGCACTGTCGGGGCGCCACAGGTTGACGGGCCAGACGTCGATCAGAGGCTGGGCACGCCAGCCGAGGCTCTGGGGCGGCTGGAGCTGGTCAAAGGAGCGGGCCAGGAGGACGTTGCGCGACATCTTCATGGCGTCGCAGATGATGGCCACGTACTCCCAGGGAGACAACTGCTTGGGGCCCCCGGAAGTCCAGACGGGAGGGAACTCGTGCCAAATTGCCTCGTCTTGGCTGAAGGCGGTGGGTTGGGACATGTAGTCTTGGGGGACCGCGTTGTCGTAGAAGCCCAGCGCAATGGTGTTGGGCCGCATGCCCCCTGGAGAAAGAGAAGACAGGCCGAGAGCTGGATTTGATATTTACAGTACTTGCAGTATAGAATTCTATGAATTATTTGCGCTTCTTATACTTCTTATAATTTTATGCTTATTTTTTTTGTACTTACTTTTCTTAGATAGGTAGTCCTCGACTTACGACAGTTTGTTTAGGGATGGTTCGAAGTTATGACGGCACTAAAAAAAAGGGGCTTATGACCATTTTTCACTCTTACAAACCGGATCAGTCTCTCCCCCAGGGTCATGTGATCAGAATTCATATCCTTGGCAACGGACTCATCTTTATGACGATCACAACGTCCTGGGTCACGTTTTGCGACCTTCTGACAAGCAAAGTCAGTCGGGAAGCCGGATTCACTTAAGGACCGTGTTCCTAATTTAACAACTGCAATGATTCACTTAATAACAGTGGCAAGAAAGACTTTAAAGCAGGGCAAACCTCACTTAACAACCGTCTCCCTTAGCGACAGAAAGTTTGGGTTCCATTGTGGTCGTAAGACGAGGACTACCTGTACTTATAATTTTATATTCCTTATACTTTTATATTTTTATACTTCTTATACTTCTTATATGCTTATACTTCTTATGATGCTTAATTTATTTGGCCAAATGTGGTTAGACCCACAAGGAATTTGTCTCCAGTATAAAAGCATCCAGAGTACTTGCAAAACAACAGAATATAATAATAATAATGCTAAAGTGTACAGCCAAATAAAGAGGGGAAGTAAAAAATCAAGGGGATAAATAAAATATTGTAGCCACACCCTATGGGTTAATTAATCTATATATACATTAGCCCAAAAAAAATCCTTCGTACGGGGAGTTCTCAACTTATGACCATAATGGAAACCAAAATTTCTATCACTAAGTAAGGCAGTTAAGTGAGAATTACCCCATTTTACGACCTTTCTGGCCACCGTTGTTAAGTGAATCACTATAGTTGTTAAGTGAGTCACACGGTTGTTAAGTGAATCTGGCTTCCCCATGGACATTGCTTGTCAGAAGGTCACAAAAGGGGATCACATGACCCCCTGGGAGACACTGCGACTGTCGTAAATATGAGCCAGTTGCCAAGCGTCTTCAATTTTGATCATGTGACCCTGAGGGAATGCTGCAACGGTCGTTAAGTGTGAAAAATAGTCACAGCTCACTTCTTTCAGCACCCTTGTAACTTTGAATGGTCAATAAATTAACAGTAGTAGTAGTAGTAATAGTAGTAGTAGTAGTAGTAGTAGTAGTAAAGTTGGAAGGGACCTTGGAGGTCTTCTAGTCCAACCCCCTGCTTAAGCAGGAAACCCTATACCATTTAGGACAAATGGCTGTCCAGTCTCTTCTTAAAAACCTCCAGTGTTGAAGCATTCACCACTTCTGGAGGCAGGTTGTTCCACTGGTTAATTGTTCTAACTGTCAGGAAGTTTTTCCTTAGTTCCAGGTTGCTTCTCTCCTTGATCAGTTTCCATCCGTTGCTTCTCGTCCTGCCTTCAGGCACTTTGGAGAATAGCTTGACTCCCTCTTCTTTGGGGTAGCCCCTGAGATATTGGAAGACGGCTATCCTGTCCCCCCGTCCTTCTCTTCATTGAACTAGACATACCCAATTCCAGCAATGTTTTAGTCTCCACTCCCTTAATCATCTTTGTTGCTCTTCTCTGCACTCTTTCTAGAGTCTCAACATCTTTTTTACATCGTTGTAATGGTTGTAACTACCTATATATGAGAATATTTTAGGATTAGGTAACCATATAAGACAGGGGTTCTCAACGTTGGCAACTTTAAGACTTGCGGACTTCAACTCCCAGAATTCCTCAGCCAGCAAACCTTTGCTGGCTGAGGAATTCTGGGAGTTGAAGTCCACAAGTCTTAAAGTTGCCAACGTTGAGAACCCCTGATTAAGGCATTGTGGTTATTACTGTGTATAACCACCAAGTAAATATAGGTGAGGGTTTGCCCAGCCTGCTTTGATGACCCACCTCACAGGGGAAAAAGTTAATGCATCGCATTAATTTCAAAATCCAGCTTAATTGGTCCAGACAATTAACCCTCCGGAGGGAGTTTTCAATCCCAAACAATTCATTTCATCCTTCCGTGGCCAGACAAGAGAGAGAAAAAACTCTGAATTGAAACAGGCGGGGACAATAACTCTTCTCATGCAGCACCGTTACTTGTGTACTTATTTAAATCAATTTATTTGGTCACCGTTAAGCAATTGTCAAGGTCTCCAGGGAGCTGAGTTCAGGGTCTGCTAGAGGAAGGTCAGCTGGCCAGGAGAGAGGATACCCTGGATCAATCCCATGAAGTGAAATAGGCCTGTGTGCAGATTGGTGGGGTGCAAATGCTTTCCCAAAATTTCAGAGGGTTTCCATGTCTGACGAGGCAAAAAATCAACTCAACTTTCTGAAAATTGGGGTCAAGCTCTTCTCCAAAGTGCCTGAAGGCAGGACAAGAAGCAACGGATGGAAACTCATCAAGGAGAGAAGCAACCTGGAACTAAGGAGAAACTTCCTGACAGTGAGAACAATTAACCAGTGGAACCACCTGCCTCCAGAAGCAGTGAATGCTCCAACACTGGAAGTTTTTAAGAAGAGACTGGACAGCCATTTGTCCGAAAGGGTATAGGGTTTCCTGCCTGAGCAGGGGGTTGGACTAGATGACCTCCAAGGTCCCTTCCAACGCTGTTATTCTGTTTAATATGTGTGTTAGGTAGGCGTGCACTTTGAGAGCAGGCTACAGAATTTCATTTTAATCTGTGCCCAGATTAAATGACAAATGACAATAAAGGTTATCTTATCTTAAAATCTGCCCTCACAGAATGGATTTAACTTGCTCAACGGGCCGTGTTTGTTTGTTTTTTGGCAGCTGAAGCTGGCGGAAAGGGGACCACCCAGAAACCCACGGTCACCTACCCAGTCCGGAGATGAAGAGCAGCTGTTGCGTGCCATTCCGCACGGAGCTGGCGAGCGTCAGGTTGACGAAGGCTTTGATATTCAACCGGTCCACAAGTTGCAGCCAGGAATCGGACTGGTCCGGCAAGGGGTCAGCCGGCAGAGAGTCTGCGGACAAGCAGAGAGGGTCAGTCTCGGGGGGGGGGGGGCTGGCCCAGCGGAGGGAAAGGACCCCGACACACCCCATTACAGGTAACCCTTGACTTACGACTGCAATTGAGCCCAAAGTTTCTATCGTTAAGTGAGATATTAATATTTCCTTCTCTGGGGGAGCTGACTTCGCACACCACCATGCCAGATTTCTCATTTGCCACAAGGTGAGAATGGTGGTTTAAGCGTGTGGGCAAAGGCGAAGCAGAAGATAGTTTATTGTGCCAGCTCAGGGATTGTTCCCAAGCCCTGATTCTCAACTCCCCCTTTTCTAGGACCCAAATGAGATGCCCCCCCCGAATTCTCTTCAACTTGCATGATTGCTTAGATTTTATTCGTGTCTTCTCCCTCCCTCCCCTCTCTCCCTCCCCTCCCCTCCCCTCCCCTCCCCTTCTCTCTCTCTCTCTCTCTCTCTCTCTCTCTCTTTCTCTCTCTCTCTCTCAAAAAATAAAATCAGCAATTTTCCTTCTCCTCCCACAACCCCCTTCTTGTGTGGTGGTGGTGGTGGTGGGGCAAATATCCATTAGTTACCATGGAAACCCAAATAGCTCCAGGAGGGGCTCCTTTTGCAGCCTTCACAAAAGCATCTGAGAAATCAATTTGTAGTACAAAGGATGAGAGTTCGGCAAAAGGAAGGAACAAGGAACGCTGGGATCTGTCCAGCCAGCTGGAGTCTCTTTGGCTTGCAAAAGTTGGGCCCTCTGTGGACTGCTGGATCCCGGCTGCAAAATCTGGAAGCACCACTAGGTGGCAGTGCAGAGAGACTGGGGTCTGTCCCGGGCCATCTGGGGATGGGCCAGAGGTTTGCCGTCTAGGTGTTAGATTCTTAGCTGGGGAGTATATGTATGTCCTGATGGGCTAAGGCAAGGGTGGGCAACCTTGGCCCCTTCATGACTCGTGGACTTCAACTCCCAGAATTCCTGAGCCAGCATGGGGGAACTATGGCCCCTTCATGACTTCTGGACTTCAACTCCCAGAATTCCTCAGCCAGCATGGGGGAACTATGGCCCCCTTTATAACTCATGGACTTCAACTCCCAGAATTCCTCAGCCAGAATGGGGGAACTATGGCCCCTTCATGACTCGTGGACTTCAACTCCCAGAATTCCTGAGCCAGCATGGGGGGAACTATGGCCCCTTCATGACTTCTGGACTTCAACTCCCAGAATTCCTCAGCCAGCATGGGGGAACTATGGCCCCCTTCATAACTCATGGACTTCAACTCCCAGAATTCCTCAGCCAGCATGGGGGAACTATGGCCCCTTCATGACTCGTGGACTTCCACTCCCAGAATTCCTCAGCCAGCATGGCTCAGCTTGGAAACCTCTCCCTGTCCCCTCAGCATGGCTGGCTGGGGAATTCTGGGAGTTGAAGTCCGTACCTCATAAAATTGCTCAGGTTGAGAAACACTGGTCCAATCTTTAAGGAGACCACATGGAACCTCTGCCTGGAGACCTCCTACTCCTTCTCCTACCATCTCCTTACCCAGATCCGCCAGCTCTACGTGGCCGAGCACGTACAAGCCACTTTTCTTGAGGTCGTTGATGAAGCGAATGAGCTGGAGGGAGGTCCGCGGATTCCGCACCATCAGCAGCACTTGGGGGCGCCAAAATTTGACATGTTCTTTGCGGCTGTCCAACAGCAGCAGGTACTTGCGGACCTGGGTGCGAAAGAAGCACGAGAGTTAAGAGGGAACAAAAACGGGAAAATCCAAGAATCTTCTCCTCTAGATCAGGGGTTGCCAACCCCCGGTCCATGGATCGGTACCGGGCCGCGGCATGTCAGCAAACGGTCCGCACAAACAAGCAAAGCCCCATCTGCGGGATGCAGGCAGCACACAAAACCGGTCCACGGTAAACCCTCTCTCCAAGTAACCAGTCCCTGGTGCCCAAAAGATTGGAGGGGGGCTTCTGCTCTAGATCAGTATTTCTCAACATCTGGAATTTTAAGACTTGTGGACTTCAACTCCCAGAATTCCACAGCCAGCATGGCTGGCTGGGGTATTCTGGGAGTTGAAGTCCATATGTCAAAAAAGTTCCCTACAAGCCGAGAAACATTGACTCAACCCCAACCACCACCCAGGCGGGGGATGATGGGAGCTGTGGTCCCAGTGTCCTTGAAGGACAGGCATCGCTCTGCCATTTTAACAGGCAGAAGAATCCCAGTCAAGTTCCAAGAAACCATGTTTTATTAACAATTTCAGCAGGGCCTTCACAACACATTTCTGCAAGAGCGAAGGCAGTCCTCGATTTACGAAAGTTACAATGGCGCTGAAAAAAGCGACTTATGTTTTTCAGACTAGGGACCGCTGCAGCACCCCTCAGGGTCACGTGATCAAAATTTGGACGCTTGGCCACTGGTTCGTATTTATGGTGGTCGCAGTGTCCTTTGGGATTACAGGATCCTGGACTTTGCTAAACGAGCTGCTGTTAAGTCGAGGATTACCTCACGTCTCACCAAGTTTCAGCCCCTTTTGGGGGTTCACACAGACCCCCATAAGCCAAGCCAACAGGCTGAGTTCACCCCAATAAATAAACAGCTATGGCCAGTCCTCGACTTACGACCACAGTCGAGCCCAAATGATTCAAAAATAATCAAATTTATTAAGGGGATGACTGCAGCTGCTTCTAAGTAAGCAGGTTTAATCCGCAACTACAAACTTCCAGTTTTGGTCACCATGATGTAAAAAAGATGCTGAGACTCCAGAAAGAGTACAGAGAAGAGCAACAAAGAGGATTAGGGGACTGGAGGCTAAAATAGATAAGGAACGGTTGCTGGAATTGGGTATGTCTAGTTCAGTGATGGCGAACCTATGGCACGGGTGCCAGAGGTGGCACTCAGAGCCCTCTCTGTGGGCACATGCGCCGTCACCCCAATCCTAGGCCTTCAGTTGGGTTTTATAAAACCTTTTCGCTTTAGGCCTCTGCTGCCGTGTACAAAAAAAAAAAAAGGTTCAATCAATCAGTCAATTTCAACTTCTTGCAGAAAAAAAAAGATCTTGCAAAGTTGGGATAGATTGAACTTTTTAGTCCCATCCAGTCTGCTGTTACCACCGCAGCCACGCCCACCCAAAGGGCCATGCCCATCCAAAGGGCCACACTCACCCGGCACCCGACGATGCATAAGTGGGTTTTGGTTTACAGTTTGGGCACTCGGTCTCTAAAAGGTTCGCCATCACTGGACTAGTTTAACAAAGAGAAGGACGAGGGGGGGGGGACGGACACAGTAGCAGTGTTCCAATATCTCAGGGGCTACCCCAAAGAAGAGGGAGTCAAGCTCTTCTCCAAAGCCCCTGAAGGCAGGACGAGAAGCAACGGGTGGAAACTAATCAAGGAGAGAAGCAACCAAGAACTGAGGAGAAACTTCCTGACAGTGAGAACAATTAATCCGTGGAACAACCTGCCTCCAGAAGCGGTGAATGCTCCAACACTGGACATTTTGAAGAAGAGACTGGACAGCCCTTTGTCTGAAATGGTATAGGGTTTCCTGCCTGAGCAGGGGGTTGGATTAGATGACCTCTAAGGTCCCTTCCAACTTTATCATCATTATCATCATCATCATCATGGTTCAATTTCTGATCATTGGCCTTGGGTCCTGGTTGACTCCTTTGCAAACCAGCCAGGTAAGGAAGACAGATGGAACTCCATACCTGCCTGTCAGGTCCTGCATCACTTGGAGAAAAGCACCCCACTTGGCAGTCTATGGGTGGGCGTGGGGTGGGGGGCAGATAAAGAGGGGTGCCAACCACTGAGAGCACCGTATTCACGGGCGGGAGATGACTGGGGGTGCCCCGGTCTGACTCCACAGCAGCTGTGGGCTTGGCAGAGGGGGGAAGGGAGGGGGAGAAGGGGAGGGTGGGTCCCAATCACCCAACTAACAAGTTGCTTTGCTAGATGGGCAAGCTGTGCCCGGCCTTGGGTTCAAGAGTCCAAGCTGATCTCTTTCTTCCCTAGCTGTGTGGTTGATCCAGAAGGCAGGGAGTCACCCAAAGGGAAGGACGTGGGCTTCGATGATTTCTGCCTTGTAGGGGAAATATAGTTGTCTTCCAGGGAAATCTCACTGTTTTGCTTTATATTCTTTATTTCCCTTGCTTTCTAAATCCCTGTTTGTGGCTTCTTCTTTCCTCCTTTCCCCCATTTTTCCCCTCCCTCCCTTCCCTTCCCTTCCCTTCTTCCCTTTCTTTCTTTCTTTCTTTCTTTCTTTCTTTCTTTCTTTCTTTCCTTCCTTCCTCTCCCTTCCCCCTTCCTTCCTTCATCCCTCCCTCCCTCCTTCTCCCTCCCTCCTTCTTTCTCTTTCTTTCTTTCTTCTTTCTTTCCTTCTTCTTCTTTCCTTCCCTTGCCTTCCCTTCTCCCTTCCTCCCTCTTTCTTTCTTTCTTTCCTTCTTCTTCCTTCCTTCCCTTGCCTTCCGTTCTCCCTTCCTCCCTCTTTCTTTCTTTCTTTCTTTCTCTTTCTTTCTTTCTTTCTTTCCTCTCCCTTCTCCCTTCCTCCCTCCCTTCTTTCTTTCTTTCTTTCTTTCTTTCTTTCTTTCTTTCTTTCTTTCTTTCTTTCTTTCTTTCTTTCTTTCTTTCTTTCTCTTTCTTTCTTTCCTTCTTCTTCCTTCCTTCCCTTGCCTTCCCTTCTCCCTTCCTTCCTCCCTCTTTCTTTCTTTTTATTTCCTTCCTCTCCCTTCCCTTCTCCCTTCCTCCCTCCCTCCTTCCTTCTCCCTTTCTTTCTTTCTTTCTTTCTTTCTTTCTTTCTTTCTTTCTTTCTTTCCTCTCCCTTCCCTTCTACCTTCCTTCTCCCTCCCTCCCTCCTCTCTTTCTTTCTTTCTTTCTTTTCTTTCTTTCTTTCTTTCTTTCTTTCTTTCTTTCTTTCTTTCTTTCTTTCTTTCTTTCTTTCTTTCTTTCTCCTTCCTTCCTTCCTTCCTTGCTCCCTCCCTTCCTTCCCTTCCTTTCCTTTCTCCCCTCCCGCCCCCGCTGTCCCTTCCTCCCTTCCTGAAGCTCCCATTTACAACCGGCGCCTGCCTTATCTTCGTCTTCTCCTTCCCCAAATGAACTGGAAGCTCAAAGAGGCGTCGGAAGGCTTTGCTTTCCCTGTCTCGGATTATTTTCTCTCTCGCTTCCTCTCTGCTCTGTATAAATTTATGCAAAGGCCTTTAAAAAAAAAAAACCACATAACAACCCGACACATTGCTGCAGACCTGTGATGGAAATGACATTAAAAAAATAAGAACGGGGGGGGGAAGGGGGAGCCGAGTGTATCCAGCGGGACCAAGTCCCCCCCCCCCCGCCGAGGCTCTTCTGATGATCTCACAACCAGAATTGTGGACTTGGAGGCTGGCCAGGACCCCTTCTCCCGGCTTTGTTCCGAGCCCTCCGTTCCCAACTGACAGCTGTCCAGCCTCGCTTGGAGATCTGCAGCCAGAGAAGGATGCCCGGCTCTCTAGGTAATTGCTTCTATTGTCCTGGTCCTTATCCTCAAATTGCTTCTTACAGCGTCCAGCTGAACTCTCCCAACTTGCAGATGCCCCCCACCCCCACCCTATTTAAGTAGGCCAGGGATAGGCAACCTTGGCTCTTTTATGTCTTGTGGACTTCAACTCCCAGAATTCCTCAGCCAGCATGGGGAGCTACGGCCGCTTCATGACTCGTGGACTTCAACTCCCAGAATTCCTCAGCCAGCATGAGGGAACTATGGCCCCCTTCATGACTGGTGGACTTCAACTCCCAGAATTCCTCAGCCAGCATGAGGGAACTATGGCCCCCTTCATGACTTGCGGATTTCAACTCCCAGAATTCCTCAGCCAGCATGCGGGAACTATGGTCCCTTCATGATTTCTGGACTTAAACTCCCAGAATTCCTCAGCCAGCAAGGGGGAACTATGGCCCCTTCATGACTCGTGGACTTCAACTCCCAGGATTCCTGAGCCAGCATGGGGGAACTATGGCCCCTTCATGACTCGTGGACTTCCACTCCCAGAATTCCTGAGCCAGCCTGGCTCAGCTTGGAAACCTCTCCCTTTCCCCTCAGCATGGCTGGCTCAAGAATTCTGGAAGTTGAAGTCCACGAGTCATAAAAGAGCCAAGGTTGCCTACCCCTGGCCTAGTCCTTCAGAGCAGGAGTACAGAACCAGCCTCAGCTTTAGTTTTCCAGCTCATGGAAATTTAGCTGCAGGCCGTCCTCGACTTACAACAGTTCATTTAGCAACCTTTCAAAGTCACGATGGCACTGAAAAAAAGTGACTTAGGACCACTTTTGACAATGACTCTTGCAGCATCTCCGCGGTTCACATGATCAGAATTCGGACGCTTGGCAACTGACTCATATTTACAATGGTCGCAGTGTTCCCTGGGATCACACGATCCCCTTTTTGCGACCTTCTGCCGAGCAAAGTAACCGGAGAAGCCAGATTTACTGAACGACGGTGTGTGACTAACTTAACGACGACAGCGATTCGCTTAACCGCCAGGGCAAGAACGGTTGTAAAAACGGAGCAAAGTTTACGGAACTAACAATCTCGAGTAGCAATAGAAATCTGGGCCTCGACTGTGGTCGTAAATCAAGGACATTTGACAAATCCCAGGAATGAACTGCCTTGGGATAAAGAATATGGAGCCAACTGATGGCCTTGGGGTGCCGCTTCCCCAGCCTTGGGTAGGCCTCAAGCTCTCAAAATCAAAA